CCAACTTGTCCGATTGCACCTGGGCTAAGGGTGCGCTGCCGCCCCCCTCGGCACCTCTCGCCTGCCCCGGCCGGGCTGCCCTTTCCATTCCCGTTTGGTTTAATGAACCAACGTTGGACGCAGTCTCGCAGATGCCGGCGGTGTTCTGTGCGAGCATAGCCGCAGTGACTTTCCAATGAGAAGCATTTTTTGGCTCGTAAATCCATTGGCTGGGAGATGCCACCGAGCCGCTGTCCACCGTCGCGAACGGTGCGCTGCGGTAAAGCCACGGATGTGACGCGAGGAGATTCTGCCCAGCAGGATGCACGGATGGCCCGAATTTCTTCACGAACTTTGCGAGGTCGGAATGCCAGAATCCTGCGCTGCAGGATGCTGCCGTATCTGTACCCGCGATGTTGCTGATGCAGGGAGGCGAACGGAAGGAGAGGAGGCTGTGAGGAGGAAGAGGAGGCGCGGAAATGGTGACGCCATACAGGAAGACGCCGCTGAGCCACGCTGGCGAATCGCGGCACGAAGCACTCATACGCCATCATTGCCGTCCTGCACACCAGAGACAGCGCACACCGCACCCCACACTGCACCACGCCGCTCACCAAACCACAACCTGCACTACACACCGCGCCACTAACCTCTGCAAAACACACCTCACCCCACACTGCACCACACCCTACACTGCAGCACACACCAACCGCCCTCCACTGCACACTGCACCACAATGTCGGCCACCACAGTCGCAGTTCTCAGGCCAATCAGCCCTCCGAGGACGATACAAATGTATGTATTTTGAAACAATAACAGACACTCTAAAAGACACATTTTCAATCACCCACTCGTTAAGTCGCCCACTCACAATCACAAACCAAAACTCTCACTCACACACTCACGCTCCTACTTGTTAACTCACCCACTCACAATCACACACCCACGCTCTCACACACTCACGCTCCTACTTGTTAACTCACCCACTCACAATCACACACCCACGCTCTCACTCACACACTCACGCTCCTACTTGTTAACTCACCCACTCACAATCACACACCCACGCTCTCACACACTCACGCTCCTACTTGTTAACTCACCCACTCACAATCACACACCCACGCTCTCACTCACACACTCACGCTCCTACTTGTTAACTCACCCACTCACAATCACACACCCACGCTCTCACACACTCAGAAACTCGCCCACTCACAACCACTCGCCTACTTGGAATGAGTTCCGAATCCGGTTCAGGTGCTTTACTGCGCACGCTTGTCAGTCCTTGACAATTCACAGGTGTCACCGGAGAGCAATGAATGGACGTCCATCTGCACAGCGTGGTACCTCCCATGAAGGAGACGGCCAGAGCGCTCCGGGTTCTCCGCGGCCCCCCAGGGCCTCAGTTTCCACACTCCCCTCTACACGATCTCCGGGATGCCCCTGCAAACTCTGCCCTGCTGGTTCCTGTTAATCCACGCCTTGCTCCATCTCCCACTTTCTCGCTATAATGCCAACTCCCCACTAATCTCAACCCCCCCCCCCCCCCCCGAGTTAGACCTCACTTTGGCTCTCCCCGCTCGCCTCTGGCCCATACCCTGCTATGGTATCTCACTCAAAACTGCTCTAGAGGAGTTGTACACCCCTAGCTGCCACTGATTTTCAGAATGGCCTGAAATAAAATGTATTGTTCCGGATGACCGCTGCAAAGTATGATCTTGAGTTTTGATAATAGTGTGCTGATCTTTAAAGGTGTATTGAATTTTTTTTATTCTACTACTGATCCTCCTGCTGTTAGGGAGTGACTCATGCAGCCAGCTATGGCTGCAAAGTTTGGTCGTACATGTTATGTATATCGTTAATTGTTAAATTTGAATCACAGTTCCTATGATCACTGTTACATTATTTTTATAGCTTTATGTTGGTGATTTTGAAAACGTTTTGGTTTAGCCATGTTTGTTTGTTGTAGTACAGAGTTAGACTGATAACTTTAATCTAAATTGTCTTATGGTTTTTATTGTTTGACTTTCATCCCACTGGGATGTTTGCACTCAGCATTGATATGCGGTGCTTTTTCTGGAAGACTTTGTTGTTTTTTCCTGGATTTTTTCTGTTGCGTGTCGTCACTTTAGTCACTTTAAGATGTTTCTTGTTCATGTTTTTGTTTGCGGTTGCACCCGATTCAAGAGCCGAATGGCTCACAGAGTTATACCTAATAAATAAACTGAACATAGTGGATGTGTAATGACAACAGAATAACTTTGTTCTGCCACAAATCCTTAAAAACGACTGCGTTCACTCTGAACAGTGAATGTTTTATGGCCATCTGCGGAGTGAAACTCGAGCTTTCTTTTTTAAAACGCTTTCTTTTAACTCACTCTGTCTGTTGTTGTCGTTGTTGTATCCTCAAATCTTGTAACTAAATTTTTACCCACTTCCCAATATGGTATCGAGTGCAAATTTGGTATATTTATGTCATATTGATGACAATACTATATTCTATCATAAAAAATATTTTAAAGCATTATTTTGTATATGTTATGTTTCGGCTTCGGTCTAATTGTCCACGGTAAACTGACGGCTGTAAATGGCTACGGCCCCTTACGTTATGGCAAGCTTCGGGGCCACTTCCTGGAATCGTGGAGTTTTTCCATCACTAGTACGGTACATTTCATTAAAGCGTGTTTTAAAAAAAAGTTTTTTAAAATATTAGTTTTACGACTCTCATTCGAGCCTCGTTATTCTCTCTCGCCCTGTAGTGTACCGGTTCTCTCGACAGTATATAATTTAATGTTGGGTTTGTCTATGGCAGTATATAGTACGGTGTAGACTCGTGTGATGTAAGAGAATAAAGTTTAGATGGAAGCATATTATATTTTTTACGACGTAGAATTGTAATGTATTACTTACTGTTAGTAACTCAGCTTATTTTTAGTATAATGATGATACTATGTAGTTTATACTTTAGTTGTTTAAGTGGTGGTTTTAGTTACTGCAGCTACATACTATTAACACTTCTTCCATTTATTAATGCTACCCCTATCCCCTCCCTGTGATGCTGCTAATCCTGCATAATGCACGGGCAAAGTAGCACTAATCACATACCTGCATTTCCCATATCCCCTCCCTTGGATGCTGCTAATCCTGCATAATGCACGGACATAAGTAGTACTAATCACATACTTGCATTTCCCATAAATGATAAATTCCTCTGATATGCAAATTCTTTTGTCAAGGCGCCCTTTCCCCCCCCCCTTCCAACCCAGCATATATATATGCTCCAAGCAACTGTGCTGTTTCATTCAGACGCTGTCGCCTCGACAGACCTGGTTTCACCTGAGGACGGCTGCTTGCGTTGTGGTCGAAACGTCGTGAGAATTATTTTATTATGTTCTATTTTTATTATTTTATTACTTCCCTTTTACGTGACTTTACGGAAAGAACCAAGAAGATGAATCCCTGCAGTCACGAAAGCTTTAAATCTAAATGTGTGTCTAATGTTAATTGAGTGTAAGTATAATGTATGTGATTAAATGAAAAATGATCGCGTGAAGGCAGTATATAAAGCGAGCTCGCCACTGGGGGGCAGCCTCGTCGTGAGTTCTCGCACCCCACGTATTGTGTCACATGACACGTGACAAGTATGAAAAGACTATCCCGCGATACGTAGAGTCTGTCAGTGTCGAGCTCCCGACTATTGCCGATCACGAGGGCGAGTCCCGGAGTCTGCCTGGAGCAGGTGTGGTTTGTGTGGTTTGGCTTCCTCCTTATATCTGATATTTTCCCGCCTTGTGCTTCCTTGGGTCAGCTGTTGGCCTTTTGCATTTTTCCTTCTCACAAAAGCGCAGATATTCCTTTGATTTCGCTCTTCGGTCATCATTGGTCAGTTGCTGATCTTTGTGAGGTTGTTGACCCTTTATCCTCCGGGTGTGTGTGTGTCTTCACCATAGCCATGTTTGGTTCACGTTGTGAGTAGCGTGAGCAGCACTCACGTCGCGGTTGTGGAACTCAGAGGGAGGCACTCCACGCATAATATTATTTCCTGCTACAACGTGCTATGATGGGTACTGGGGAAAATAAAGGCGGTTGGTTAAACCCATGGATACATTATTTTGGTCGTATTATGTATTTTCATGAGTGATCTTAGGTCGAATACTTCCATAATTTGTTATTGGGTTGATGCTTAACTAAGATTTGTGGCATACAGTAATTGTTACCAAGGATATTCCGAGGGTCCTATTAGCCTTTTGTTCCCCATCTGTATCGCCAAAGACCAGCACTTCCTACTATCAAATAATGTTAATTCTGTTGACGGTGGAGGTTGCTGCTAGAGGTGATGGTAGTAGTGGGTAATGATGGTACAGGTGGTGGGCTTCCACCAATTAAAGCTACAACTGAGTTACGCCCATGTTAAGCCTTTACCTTGTAGCCCTTTAATTGGTGGAAACCCACCACCAACGCCACCGTTGCCCATCACTTACATTAACATTAGCTGTCTCGGCCATGCTGCTGACACTTGGGCTACGCCCATTCTAAACCTTTATAAACAGTTTGCCTTTAGAGGTTAAACCCCCCTTTTCCTGATGACGACCGCTTGTGTTGTGATCGAAACTTCGTGGTTTTTAATTATATATATATTTTCATTCACTTCATTATTATTTTTCTATCTACGTGACTTTACCGAAAGAACCAAATAACATCACAATATTAATATCTTGACAAGGCACACAGACAGCAGCTGCACGGTGTTCAAACAACAGCAATAAAACTTGTCTGTACCAGTGAGATGTCTTTTTTTATTAAAATATATAAAACACAATTAAAGAGATAGCGAATATCTGCAAAAATGTGAAGTTTTGTTTAATCACTGCGTGTTTTAATTGTGAAACACTGACAATTTTTTCATTAAAAAAACAATGCAATTGCACAGAATGTAAACATCGGGTTGTGATATGGAAGCTACTGGTAGACAGCTGGTAAGAGCGCTCCGGTGCATTTCACCAACACTGCAAGGGCATCAACATTGGAGCAACTTATTCACCTGAGCAGGGCTCCATTTGTCTTTTCGGTGAATATAAAGCAGCCCGGTGTGTGGAACACCTTTGCCAATGGTGGTAATGAGGTTACGATGGGCCAGGTGGCCAGCGGATAATGTCCGGTGCACCCTCCCACACGGCCGCATGGCAGGCAGACTTCAGCCAAAAAAAGCACTGATTAAATACTTTCTTAAATACTTGCTCAAATATTCACAAGTTATTTTGAAAGCGGTAACTGGGCACCTTTCATATTACAACAGACTTCACGCTGTAATGAATCACCATGAAGGCGAATAATACCTAATTCCACACCAGTTATGGTTTGGGCATTGATTCATAAGTCACAGTGTCACAGAGTCTAGAGAATTTGAGCATATTGTATCTGGTCAAAAGTTCCATTCTTTTGTAATAATAGACTCCGTCAGGCGATGCTGATCTCCGTTTGTCTTTAATTTAGGTTCTGCTCTGCACCCCCCACTGGCCTCCTCTCGGACCAGTGTCGTCTCGCTCGCGCCCCGCGCACGCTCCCTCTCGCGTGCCACACACGCTCCTCCGTTAGCTCCTCTATTCCCGCACTCCGCACACCGCTGGCCGACGGCGTGCAGAGGTCCTTCAGTCACGTGGCCGATGGCGCGGATCTTTCCTCACCACCCAACGTGGCTCAGCCTCTTAACTTCCCCGACCTCTTCCGGGCTCCCACTTATATACATTCCCTCCACGTGACCCTGAGTCCTCCCCTTCCGGATCCTCAGATCCGGTCTTCCCATACTACCCCGCTGGCTCCGCCCCCATTCACCTCGCCTCCCATTGGAGCCGAGGTGAACGGTGGCCCCTCCCACACGCCCCGCAGACCAGGCTCCGCCCCCCAATACCCCGGGCCGTGTAATTGGACCCGAGCCAAGCAACAACCCCATTTACGCCGCATTACACTTTGTACGATACACATATAAAGCAACGCTACCGCAACACAGCAAATAACTTCAGTGCTTCAGAACACAATGATGACAGTTTTGACAAACCCCACTGCCTGCCTCCCCAGTGTAGCTGCAAGTGTATATTTCCCTGGTCAGCTGGCACGAACCAGGATGCTGACCCTCGTGCCGAGCTCTTCGTGCTTTGTATACCAACACGGCAATGTGCATCACTGAGGGGTGGCCTACGAGCTGACACTTTGTTTACAGAAGGCGCAAGGAGATTGTGCGGAGCGCACAGCGAGCACAATGTACATTGGTGCAGGGTGTACTGTGCGGGAACGTGCAAGTCACGTGAGTCTTGTGGGGCGTTGTGCTGCAGCGCTTTGAATCCGGTGAGCTCTAACCCTCTAGCATTGCGTACTGTGCAATCGGAATACCGTCACGTATCAGTGCATTGTGCACAGACTACAACCACCCTGGCAATGGCAAGTCACCATGGCAGAAACAACTACACCAATGCACGATCCCTGACAATCATTCTAATTTTTGTCTCTAAACGGAAGATGATTTTGCTTTCTTGAAGAACTGCCTGGAAGGGGAGTGCTGGCTCTGCCTCTTGCGTAGAGGCTGTGTGCCCATGGCCGGTTCTGCCGGTGGCCAGGCAAGAGCAGCGCCACTCCCTCCGCGCCGTGCTGCGGAGGCATCCAGGCACTTGACGCTCACCCTCGGGAACATGAAAATGTTGTGCCGGGCACACGCACGTTTTTCCTCCATCCACCATGTGCGCATCGCTGCAGTCTCCCCGTGCCGCGGGTCCGGAGACGCTGGGGATGCTGTGGGAAAAGAGGTGCCTGCTGGCGGCACGACGGAAGGACGCGCCCAGCAATCGTCCTCAGTGCGGCGTTCACTCCCCAGCCTTGCCGGGGCATGTGCCGAGCCGTTCCGCCCAGGAGCCACGAGCCCAGGCAAGTGAGCGACTGGGGGGGCCGAGAGGCGCGAGGAGCGATCGGCGCCACCGGCGTCATGCGGCGTCTTCGGAGGCTGGGTGGACGTGGCGCCGCGAGCGGGGATCTTGCCGGTGCCGGTAGCGGTGGGGCCCGCAGAATGGCTCCCGTGTGGACGTCCCCGGGTGGCCCCGGTGCCGTGACTCTGGCGCGCTTCCTGGGAGGTGGTGCTGCCCGTGGAGATGTGGGAGCCGAGCTTGTACTCCAGGGTTTCTGGGGTTCCTCTTTCGCCCTCCAGCCACACTTTGCATGTTGTCCACGAAAAATTCCTCCCGCCCCCTGAAAGACAAAGCACGTTGTGGGTCAAGTATGCTTTGTGTAACCAGGAGAGGAGCCCGGGAGGCCAGGATAAGGGTCATTGAAATAGTTATCCTGGGTCACCAAAATTAAAGCAAATAAAAATCGGGCCAAAAATAATTCCCATGAGAAATAGATATATTTCACGAACAGAACCGCACAAGTGCACACACTAGTTGGGTGCATATAAATTAATCGCTTTGTTATACAGATAATTGCGATGCATTAATTGACTTAAATACAGAAATGTATGTAAAGTATGAAGATAATTATACCATGAGGTGAATAGAACACAGAATAAGTGATTCTTAAATCCCAACCATCAATCGTTACCAACCACACCAATTGGATGTGTGGGGGAAGGACGACAATCTATACACTATGTGAAGCGAGTGCGAGCATCAAGAGATAGCGGAAGACTCACCCATGCTGCGTCGCACCCTCCAGGCGGTGTGGAAGAGGTGTGGGTAGACGTAGTGCAGCTGGGCCATGCGTAGCAGCGTGAAGCAGCCACGCCGGAGCCATGGCGCGCACCGCAGCACACCCTCCTCCGTCAGAGTGGATGGCCGCTGCGGCACGGCGCAGCGCGCCAGCACGCCCACCAGCTCGTGCCTCGACAGCTCCATGACCATCGTCTCCCGGAGGGCGGCGAGAGGCACGAAGGTCCTGCCATGGCGCAGCACGAATGGGAACGGGCACGAGGACGCCGATTCCATTAGCACCAGGGCCCGGAGGACGCGCTGCACTGCTCGGCGGACACGCGGATGGTTGAGCATGGCCGCCTCCTCCTTGTGTTTCGTCCACTCTGCCTGGGACACAGCGTCTTTGTAGGCATCCGTTACACAGTCTGCAATGTTCATGAGTTCTGCGTGCAATGACAACAAAGTGAAGAGATTTTCAATTCTGGTTGCGGTAATCCCACCAAACTCTGATACGCAGAACCCATTCACGGTGATCTTCGACACTTTCTTTTTAGGATTCTTAGTCGGCCGAGTCATCTTGGCAGAATGAGAGTTGCAGGTCTTGCGTGCAGCGCTCGTTTCTTGAGGAACTGAAGTCACAGTGGCCGTATGTTCACCCAAACCGGGCGTCATGCTTTCCATCGCTGCCAGGTCTGCCTTCTCCTTGCTGATGTAGCGAGAGCCAAAACCCGGGCAGCTCACGGTACACACAGACCCGGGGACTTCTGTAACCTTGGGCAGGCCTGTGTCATCATCTGGCTGAAATGTGCAGGCTCCGCTCATGGCCCGTGCAGACTTTGGGGTCGCATATTTTTCTGCTGCAGACTCCTCACTCGGATCAAACAAGCAGCAGGTACCCGCTTCTTTGGCTCCCACTCCGGCTGTGTCCTTGACTGGGGCGGAGCGAGCCACCGGTATCGTGACACCGGCCGTGTCTTCCACTTGGGTGGAGCGCGCTGCTGGCATCACGACACCGGCCGTGTCTTCCACCTGGGAGGAATGCGCCACCAGCATCGAGACACTGGCAATGTCCTCCACCCAGGCAGAGTGCGCCACCAGCATCGCGCCACCAGCCGTGACCTTTTCAGGCCAGGAGGCAGCAGCGTCTCCCTCGTCCAAGGCCGGCTGTCCATGCTCGGCACCAAACTCGTTGCTCCCAGGCTGAGCCACTCCCACAATCACAGCTGCTGCCTTGATGTGCGTCTCACAATCGCGCGGTGTTGTCTCCCCCTCCGCATATCGTGCAGAAACTGATTCCGAGTCTTTACTCTCACGCCGACCGACAGAAGCGTTCCCTGGGGTTTCTTCTGCTGCACACAGCTGTTGACTCTCATGAGTACTTGGGGTGGGCAGACGTCGCGATTCCAAATCCATTGCGAGCTCCTTTACATGTGCCCCTGAAGGAACGGCGCCAAAGGGCAGAGTTATGCTCAGAGGTTCGAGTGTGTAGCGGGTTGAAGGCACAGCACCGGGCCCTACGTTGCGCTCATTTGCTGAATGCTCGGCGTCTGTCTGGGCGTCTGCATCTGCAGCTTGGACACAAACGCCTACTTCTTCTAAGGGTTCTTTTTTAATTTCTGGAAGTAAAAATGGCACGGAAGAGGTGGTAGTTTCAGAAGCTGCGTTCATATTTACTTCCATTGTTACATTCCCGCTGCAACAGCCAGCGGGACTTTCGCATTTGACGGCCACAGGGAGGACGGAATTCCCATCGTGGGGCCGTGGCGCTGGTCTATCGGTTTCGTCGTGAGCGCTTCTCCTCCTCTTTGTGCTGGGGGCTTTGGAATGAAGCGGGTCAGGAGCGAGGCTGAAGACGGAGGTGATAATTGGGATTTGTTCTTTGTTCCAAACGGACTGCCAGTGCCCGTCAAAGCTGTAGTGAGTGAGCCTGGAGCAGCAGCTGTGTCCGTGCCTGGAGATGCATGGCGCCGTGGAAGGGTCGGCGTGCCGGCCCCGCTCGGGTTCTTTCCTTGGCAGCGGCCGCTTCTCTCCACACGAGTTGCCGCGCCCGCCGACTTGCACGGTGGCGGGCGCCAAGGCTCCACGTCCTCGTCCGCGCCCACACCCGCGCCCACGCCCGCGCCCCGAGGAGTGAACCTCCAACTTGTCCGATTGCACCTGGGCTAAGGGTGCGCTGCCGCCCCCCTCGGCACCTCTCGCATGCCCCGGCCGGGCTGCCCTTTCCACTCCCGTTTGGTTTAATGAACGAACGTTGGACGTAGTCTCGCAGATGCCGGCGGTGTTCTGTGCGAGCATAGCCGCAGTGACTTGCCAATAAGGAGCATTTTTTGGCTCGTAAATCCATTGGCTGGGAGATGCCACGGAGCCGCTGTCCACCGTCGTGAACGGTGCACTGCGGTAAAGCCACGGATGTGACAGGAGGAGCTTCTGCCCAGCAGGATGCACGGATGGCCCGAATTTCTTCATGAACTTTGCGAGGTCGGAATGCCAGAATCCTGCGCTGTAGGATGCTGCCGTATCTGTACTCGCGGTGTTGCTGAAGCAGGGAGGCGTATGGAAGGAGAGGAGGCTGTGAGGAGGAGGAGGCGCGGAAATGGTGACGCCATACGGGAAGACGCCGCTGAGCCACGCTGGCGGATCGCGGCACGGAGCACTCACCGCCATCATTGCCGTCCTGCACACCAGAGACAGCGCACACCGCACCGCTCACCACCCTGCACGACACACTTCACCTCACACTGCACCACACCGCTCACCAAACCACAACCTGCACTACACACCGCGCCACTAACCTCTGCAAAACACACCTCACCCCACACTGCACCACACCCTACACTGCAGCACACACCGCACCGCTCACCGATCCACACCAACCAAAACCACACCGCTCACTAAACCACACCCTGCGCTACACAATGCAAAACACACCAACCGCTCTCCACTGCACACTGCACCACAATGTCGGCCACCACAGTCGCAGTTCTCAGGCCAATCAGCCCCCCGAGGACGATAAAAATGTATGTATTTTGAAACAATCACAGACACTCTTAAAGACACATTTTCAATCACCCACTCGTTAAGTCGCCCAATCACAATCACAAACCAAAACGCTCACTCACACACTCACGCTCCTACTTGTTAACTCACCCACTCACAATCACACACCCACGCTCTCACACTCAGAAACTCGCCCACTCACAACCACTCGCCTACTTGGAATGAGTTCCGAATCTGGTTCAGGTGCTTTAATGCGCACGCTTGTCAGTCCTTGACAATTCACAGGTGTCACCGGAGAGCAATGAATGGATGTCCATCTGCACAGTGTGGTACGTCCCAAGAAGGAGACGGCCAGGACGCTCCGGGCTCTCCGCGGCCGCCCAGGGCCTCAGTTCCCACACTCCCCTCCACACTATCTCCGGGATGCCCCTGAAAGCTCTGCTCCTGCTGGTTCCTGTTAATCCACGCCTTGATCCATCTCCCACTTTCTCGCTATAATGTCAACTCCCCACTAATCTCAACACCCCCCCCCCCCCCCCAGTTAGACCTCACTTTGGCTCTCCCCGCTCGCCTCTGGCCCATACCCTGCTCTGGTATCTCACTCAAACTGCTCTAGAGGAGTTGTACACCCAAGCTGCCACTGATTTTCAGAATGGCCTGAAATAAAATGTATTGTTCCGGATGACCGCTGGAAAGTATGATCTTGAGTTTTGATAATAGTGTGCTGATCTTTAAAGGTGTATTGAATTTTTTTTATTCTACTACTGATGCTCCTGCTGTTATGGAGTGACTCATGCAGCCAGCTATGGCTGCAAAGTTTGGTCGTACATGTTATGTATATCGTTTATTGTTAAATTTGAATCACAGTTCCTATGATCACTGTTACATTATTTTTTATAGCTTCATGTTGGTGATTTGAAAACGTTTTGGTTTAGCCATGTTTGTTTGTTGTAGTACAGAGTTAGCCTGATAACTTTAATCTACTGTACATTGTCTTATGGCTGTTATTGATTTGACTTGCATCCCACTGGGATTTTTGCACACAGCGTTGAAATACGGTGTTTTTTTCTGGAATAATTTGCTGTTCTTTCCTGGATTTTTCTGTTGCGTGTAGTCACTTTAAGATTTCGATTTAAAGCTTTCGTGACTGCAGGGATTCATCTTCTGGTTCTTTCGGTAAAGTCATGTAGAAGGGAAATAATAAAATAATTTAAAAATAAACATAATAAAATAATTCTCACGACGTTTCGGCTACAACGCAAGCAGCCGTCCTCAGGTGAAGAATGAAACGCCACCAAGCTTGGAGCGTATATTTAAGCTGGGTTGGAGGGGGAAGAGGAGCGCCTTGACAAAATAATTTGCATATCAAGAGGAATTTAGCATATTTATGGGAAATGCGTAGGAGGTGGGCTGGGGGTTTCAAAGTCATATTATGCCCGTGCATTATGCAGGATTAGCAGCATCAAAGGGAGGGGGTAGGGGGTAGCATTAACAAAGGGAAGGAATGTTAATAGTATGTAGCTGCAGTTGCTAAACCACCACGTAAAAAACTAAAGTATAAACTACATAGTATCATCAGTATACTAAATATACTCTCCAATAAGCTGAGCTACTAACAGTAATACATTACAATTCTATGTCGCAAAAACGTCGTGAGAATTATTTTATTATGTTTAATTTTTATTATTTTATCATTTCCCTTCTACGTGACTTTACCGAAAGAACCAAGAAGATCACTTTAAGATGTTTCTTGTTCATGTTTTTGTTTTGTTGCGGTTGCACCCGAGTCGCATGGCTCACAGGGTTATACCTAATGAAACTGAAACACAGTTGGCTGCATACGGTGCGAAAGAACTTCAACTACATACATGCAAATGCTCTTCCAATATCACCCTTGCTCTCTCTCCTGCAGCAGTGGTTTCCATCTCTGTGTAATGGTTTTACCACTCCAATACCCTGGCCGGATCATTGCCTCCCGCCTTGTCCCCACTGACCCCCAACTCCCCCCTCCCCCCATTGTCTGTGAAAAAGAGCTCCACAGCTCATCGGATTTTTCCAGTCTAAATAAAGATTTTGATTCTGATCTCCTGGACTCGCAGCGGTCGCGACACACCAACTAACTCACCTCGCTGCAGATAACACTCACCCACTCCACTGCAGGTCACAACACTCACCAACCTAACTGCAGATCACAACACTCACTCACCATACTGCAGGTCACAACACTGTGGGGGTCGCTGGCCCCCGAGATCCATCCCTCGATAATGCTGACGGTCGGGATAACATTACTACTCGCCCCCTCGCTGCTAGGCGAACCGCTGTCTGGTTCCTCACTCCATGGGTGGAGCCGTTCTCGCTCGAGGATTCCCCTCCACCTCGGGTCCGCGTAGTAGGCATGGTTAGTTAACCGAGTAGTATTACGTCCCTTCACACTACCACGAACCTCCCTTTCTTAATCGAGCACCTGTATCCTACACTAGGCGGAAACGTAACCACCCACCACACAAGCTCCGCGGCGGTCACCCTCTCTTGCGCCGCTTCTGCGCAGCGCTCCCACGTGGCGAGCCGCCGTCATACACGCCACCACACGCGTTCACACTTCTCGCGAGATCACACGATGGCCACGAACTCAGCTATTAATGATTTATTCTCGCGCTACCTGAAGAATTATTGGCTTAAATAAGTATGAATCGACGAGGCTGGCCTATTCTGCTACCCTGGACCTATTCCCTATTTATCGGCTTATGACTACTATTTCACCTCGTCCTTCCTTCACACCAGTTCGAAGTTATTCGGTGTCCCGTGGGTTTTCCTCGCTGCTCGTCTGGACACGTCGCTCGGACGTCCGGAGGGCAGAGCTGGGAGCCGCCTTAACCGCTGGCTTCTTGGAGTGAGATCCCTCTCTACCTTGCTACGATCGCTTTTATCCTATCTCCCCGACCCAGGCCCCGCCTCCCCAGCCCTTACTCGCCCCTCCGGCGCTCATTCTAGTTCATCCCATTCTCATGCATGCCTTTGTTATGTCAATTATGCGGCGGCATCCATCACAAAGGCTTGCCGTGGGAATTTTTGCACGGACCGCTGCATACCGCTGATTCAATCTTAATTTTAGAACTTTCGTGACTGCAGTAAATGATTATTTGGTTCTTTCGGTTAAGTCACGTCTAAAGATAAAATAATAAATTAAATTAAATAATAGCATACGACGTTTCGATTGCAACACAAGCAATCATCATCAGGTATAATGAAATAGCGACATAAAATCTAACCAGAAAACTATAGACAGACATATTAGCAGACAGATATCACCAAGATACATAGAGGGAGCAACACAGGAACCAGAGAGGGGTGATCATCTCTGTGGGGTGGCCTTAAATAGACAGAGGGGGGAGGAGTGCAGAGAGAGGGAGGGGGTTAGGGAAAACATTTGCATATCAATGAGTGGTCCAAAAAACAAGGTTCTGCAAGTGCGATGACACGGCAAGCAAGTCTGAAAATCAGAAGGACAAACTAAAATTCAATAACCTAGCAAAATATCGAAATGTAATGTAATACAACACAGAGAGTCGGTCAACACACAATTAACGCATAGCCTGGTTGATTACGTATTTAAAAGATTGCTAAGTTAGAATTTAAGTGTGAACATTCCAAAGAGAAGACACAGGCAGAGAGAAGAGAGAGAGAAAAAAGGATAAGCTCAAAACTTCCCCGTAGAAGGGTTCAATCTTAATTTTTAGAACTTTCGTGACTGCAGTAAATGATTATTTGGTTCTTTCGGTTAAGTCACGTCTAAGATAAAATAATAAATTAAATTAAATAATAGCATACGACGTTTCGATTGCAACACAAGCAATCATCATCAGGTATAATGAAATAGCGACATAAAATCTAACCAGAAAACTATAGACAGACATATTAGCAGACAGATATCACCAAGATACATAGAGGGAGCAACACAGGAACCAGAGAGGGGTGATCATCTCTGTGGGGTGGCCTTAAATAGACAGAGGGGGGAGGAGGGCAGAGAGAGGGAGGGGGTTAGGGAAAACATTTGCATATCAATGAGTGTCCAAAAACAAGGTTCTGCAAGTGCGATGACACGGCAAGCAAGTCTGAAAATCAGAAGGACAAACTAAAATTCAATAACCTAGCAAAATATCGAAATGTAATGTAATACAACACAGAGAGTCGGTCAACACACAATTAACGCATAGCCTGGTTGATTACGTATCACCCTCTCTGGTTCCTGTGTTGCTCCCTCTATGTATCTTGGTGATATCTGTCTGCTAATATGTCTGTCTATAGTTTTCTGGTTAGATTTTATGTCGCTATTTCATTATACCTGATGATGATTGCTTGTGTTGCAATCGAAACGTCGTATGCTATTATTTAATTTATTTATTATTTTATCTTTAGACGTGACTTAACCGAAAGAACCAAATATCATACCGCCGATTATTCGTAATTTCAGCTTTATCCTTTAACTTCCCTAATTCCCCTAATAATGGTGCCTGCGCGCTCGAGCCCATTTTGTCATACTAAATTATGCCGTCCCGTCCCTCTTCAGCCTGTCTCTTCAATACGTGGGGGTGTGTGTGGGAGATGCATTTCAACCGCGGTGGCCTAACGCCCCTCACCGCGACCATGCAATCGTAATGCATCGGGTGGAGGTCGTCCAATTCCCTGGTCGCCGGAAACCGTGAAGGTTAATCCCGATAAGGGCTTCTCGGATTAAAACCGGTCGGCCAGGTCACTTCCCCTCGGAGCTCTATGGGGGGGGGGGGGTGGGGAATTGCGTGCGGGTGTGTTTATGTGAGGTGAGGTGAGGGGGACGCGGAGGTCGGCTCCGTCACTGGTGGTGGCGAGGTCTGGGTGGGGCGCCCGCTGAACGGCTTCGTGGCGGCGGCATCACAACACTCACTCACATTGAAATGCTAATTTCACTGCCCCCCCTCTCTCTCCCCCATGCTGCCGATCTCTCCGGTCACTGCAGCCCCTCCCCCCCCCCTCCGGGATCTATATGATACCTCGTCACAGAGGCGTTGTTCTTTGTGTGTCTCTCTCTCTAAGTGTCTCTCCCTCTCTGTTGTTTGTCTCTCTTCTGTGTCTCTCTCCGTATCTGTGTTTGTCTCTCTCTCTGTATATGTGTCTCTCTCCGAGTTGCATTTACACACAGTTCTCACCGGATGACGGTTGCTTGTGTTGCAATCGATCTATTATTTTGCATTTTAAGTGACTTACCGAAAGAACCAAAGAGTAATTCCTGCAGTCACGAAAGCTTCAAATCAAGATTATTCACACACTCATTCATCCACTCACCCACTTCACTGCAGATCACAACACTCACCCACCAAACTGGAGGTCACAACACTCACTACACTGCAGGTGACAGCACTCACCCACTCACCCATCTCACTGCAGATCAAAACACTCACCCACTTACCCACTCACCCCACTGCAGGTCACACCACTCATTCACTCTACTGCAGGTCACAACACCAACCCAGTTCATTCTTCACCTGAGGGACGGCTGCTTGCGTTGTGGCCGAAACGTCGTGAGAATTATTTTATTATGTTTTATTCTTATTATTTTATTACTTCCCTTCTACGTGACTTTACCGAAAGAACCAAGAAGATGAATCCCTGCAGTTCACGAAAGCTTTAAATCGAAATTTAAGATAGCCCCGCACCTCCATATACCCCGCATGCATGCATATATTTACGTCGTTTACATTCGTAAATCATTCCACTAGACATTGTTAACATTAAAATCATAAACGTGCACAAAAAAAAACAAACTAACCGGAAACGAGTGAACTTAAGAGTATAATAAGTAACAAAGTAAATATCCAATAAATAGGTGACACAACGGTAGATCAGTTACAATTTTAGCACTGGTAGATTGCGCACTGCGCAGACAATACGCGGCATACGCAACTCGTCGCAACGCCCCCCCACCTCTCTCTCCCCCAGCTGCCCCACCCCCCAACCCACCCTTCTCCCCCAGCTCTCCAAACATTGTCGTTTCATTGTACAATTCATTTAAAACGTGATAACATGTGCAATTTTAGTGCCAGGGGTTATTCAGCAGTGCTTTAGTCAAAGGTAAGTGTTGCATAGTGGATAGTCCTACCATGATTTTTTTTTACGCGTTATGACATGTCACACGTGTAAAAATATTTTTTGGGATAGCCCGCACCTCCATATACACCGCAGGGTCTTGTTTGGTTATAAAAACTAGTATACCCGCGGGTTATATGCGGGAAAATACGGTAAGTAATATAGGAGAGCGGCCTCTAGATGAGGGCACGAAGTGGCTATGTTAATGTGAGAATGTGAGAATCACATTAATGTAGTGACAGAACGGTCACTACTGTGTTGGCCCGTACGAGGGCTGGGGGCCCCAAGGGGGTGCCTGGGGGGTCACGTACTGGAGGGATCCGGACCTTCCAGAGGTGGGGGAAGTGAGGCGTGGCCTGGGAAGGGAGGCGTGGCCTGGGCGGAGCCGGCCACGCCAGAGAGACGAGATATAAGCGTGGTGTGAAGGCAGAGCAGGGCTGTTCCTGAGAAGAATGAAGACACCTCGTGAAGATGCCAGAAGAGAAGACCTACAGTGAGCGGACTGCCAGCAGCCACCTGGCTGGGTCACGCTGGAGAGAGACCAAAATACATGTGGTTAGCTAGTGTGTCGGTGGTCACCACCCTTGTGTAGAGTAGAGTAACTGTTGAGTAAACGTTGTGTTAATTAAAAATGAGTGCTCCCAAGAAGTGTGTGCGCCTAAATTGAACCCACTACATTAACATGCTAATCTCTCACATCAACATAGCCACTTCCGTGCCCTCGTCGAGGAGGCCGCTCCTAGCTTACAGTTACATGCTAATTTCTCACATTAACATCACTAGCCCTGGCCACTTCTTTATGACCCTTGCGCTACACCATTGCAAACCTTTTAACACAGTCTGCCTCAGCAGCAAGCCATGCTTTCCACCTGATGACGGGCGCTTGTGTTGCGCCCGAAACGTCGTGATTTATTGCATTTTTCTACCTACGTAACTTTACCGAAAGAACCAAAGAGTATGGATTCCTGCAGTCACGAAGGCTTCAAACAAGATTCACTTAAGATGTTCTGTTTTTGTTTGTTGCGGTTGCATCCGAGTCAAGAGCCGCATGACTCACAGGGCTACCTAATAAATGAAAAACTGAAAAAACTGGAAACTCACCCATTGTAATAGGTTCCGAAGAACACTCGTAGAGGCGACTTCTTTTATTACAACACAGTACGTACACAATCCTTTACAGGCTACGGACAGCCTACTTCTAGCGTGCCTGACACTGGCCGGCTATGATTACCCTAGGGAG